AACATGCCCACAAGTGCATCTCTTCCGTAGGAACTCCTTCCTACAAGTCTTGATTTGCCTCGACTTGGACCTCCTTGTCCCTTGCGGCAAAGTCTTGGATCCCATCCAAACTTTGTTCCATCCGCGTTAAGAGTTAGGTCTTGCCCGACCTACACTCACTTAAAGTTGCAAATCAAGCTCACAAGAACACAAGAATAGTGTTGAGATGTACCTTCCCCTCTGATTTAGTTGGCATTTACTCAAAATTTTGCATCAGCCCTTCTTGCTCCATGAAGTCTGACACTCCCCGCATTGAACCCTTGTCATTGCAGTTCTCTACGCCATCATGCATCGGCACTTTCTCACGGCAAAATCCGATGCCCTTCCTCGCATCCTCCCTTCTAACACGAAGGGTGGAGCTCGCTTCCCACCTTTGAAATGGGTGGTGTCTCCACGGTTGCCTTGTTCCTCAACGTCTTGGCTCCCTTCGACTCTTGTCTATGAGTCTTTGAAGGATTGTTCCTTTCTTGAACATCTTCGGCAAGCCCTTGCTTCGACTCCTTGGACATGGACAACTCGGTCTGCCCTTGGCCTCTACATGCTTTGGCAGAAATGAACCGTATTGAGCCAATCCTCAGTGCCCCTTCGATCATTGGTGTGTCATCTTCTCCGGATAACTCGATCCTGGGCTCATCCATCACCTTGGATGACTCGGCTCCCCTTGGGTAATCTTGCAACACTATTGGCACCTCAAGTTTGCGCCCCTTCGCTTGCTCGACTCTTACCCTCGGCTTAGCATCTGTGTCACTTGAACTAGTGAACACATCATTACCAGATCCACCGTCTGGTTCATCATTGAGTGGACTTTCCCTACCACTCGAGGAACAACATTCCTCATCCTTCGACTTGCCTTCATTGCGGGATCGCTTGCCGCCACCCTCGGCTTTGGGTTTTGCTTTGGAAGTCTTCTTCTTGACTCCAAACTCCTTGATGGACTCGGCGGTTGTCAAGGCTTTAGACAGCCCCTTGACTTCCCTTCGCTCCAACACTTTCTGTGCCCACGGCTTTAACCCGAACATGAAGGTGAAGAATCCCTCTTCTTCAGTCAAACTTGGGACTTTGAGCATGAGTCTTCTGAATCGGCTCACATACTCCTTCAGTGTCCCCTTATGCCTGAGGCGCCTCAACTTGGACCACGCCTCCATCCTGGAATATTGTGAGCGAACTTGCTCACTTTGCACCCTCGGCTTGACGGCTTTATTGCTTGCTATCGCACCGGGTCTTTCCTTGTGCTCGACTGCTTTGACACCCGCAGTCTTGTCACGTCGCGATCTTGGGCGGACTACTTGACAACTTGTAGTCGCTCCACGCTTACCCCTTGATTTGGCTACTTTGGAACATGTAGCCTCGTCAAGTTTTGCCCCTGACTTGACTATATCATTTGCAACCGCATCTGGCTTCTTTCTCGGCTTGACCGCCTCATCTTTGACAACCTTGCCTCATCTTGATCCTTGCTTGGCCGCATTGATCCCATCAATCGGACCAAGTATTTCCTTTGACTTGGCAGCTTTACTCGTGCCTCCGCCAACTCTTGCTACTTCTCCTTCTCCCATCATCCTCATGATGGTTGTAAGGCGACGCTTCTCGGGACATCCTCTTATCAAGTGAGGACCATCACAGAAGTAGCATTTCAGCTTTTCCTTGCTCGCCTTCTTCTTTTCCCCGGACTTGGCCTTGCCATTCTTTCCCGATGACTTTCCTTGGCCGCGAACAGTCGTTGGCTCAACTTGGCCACTCGAAGAGCTTTCTATACAATCTCCCTGCTGCACCATTTCCCGGTCTCCCCCATTGTTGCCACTATCCCTGGGCATGGGCCTGGACGACACATCGCTCTTTGGCTTGACATCTGCAAGCTCAGTCGGCGTTCCGGCTACAGCTATGGCTTCCGAAAATCTCTGGGCATAACCTTGCTCTCCCCCGAGCATCGCCCCTGGTCTAAGTCCTTCCAAGAAGGTCTTGAGCGCACCCCATTCACTCATTGCTCCCTTGCATATTAGCAGCTCCCTCTTGAGCTCATCCACCTCGCTTCTCAAAGCCACTACCTCGGCTTCTTGGGCATTTCTCCCTCGAACCGTCTCCAACTCGTCAAGAACTCGTTGCGTCTCGACCTTGAATCTGCCCTCCATGGACTCTAATCGATCAAGGCGGGATTCCACAACACCTTGGGTCTGCTTGGCCTCATCTTCGGCTTGTTCAAGTCTCCCGACCCTTTGTTCCCACGAAGTTGAGATCTCCTCCAACTTGATGAACCTTTGCGTGTGGAAAGCCAAACCTTCCATCAAATAGGCCCATTTCTCGTCGATCGTCAGTTCTTCTTGTTCCTCGTGAAGACTTTCCTCGTCTTCATGAGAGAACGTGTCTCGCTCGGACATGCCTTCGGCGTCACCCTTGAGCCTCTCTACCTCGAGAACCGGCTCCTCTTGGTGTGTTATAGTTGCCTCGAACATTCTTTGCGAACTCGTCATGGAATCCTCATGCTTGGACACCGACGATGCTCTTGAGCCCAATTGACTCTCTTCCTGTTTCCCACCATGGCACTCCTTGCCTTTGCGTGCGGAAACTCCTCTTTTCTTGTGCCCCATTCAATTATCAAAGTAAATTGATTGAAAGTAAGTAAAACAAACTTACCCGACTCGCACCTTCCACCAAAACACGGTTGAAACGATCGTTGCTTGCCCACAACGACTCGCTCTGATACCACTTGTCACGCCCCCAGAACTTCGACGCCTCACACCGTCAGAATATCAGAGTCAAGGTCTGACGGGTCGTGCGACCTTAGACGCTTTAGACGCTCCTCGGTCTTCTCGGCGACTAAGTAAGCCTTACCCAAGCTAAGTGAGTGTGCAAACTCACAAAGGTTGGAACCAAGCCCTCAAGGCTTCGGATTGCGGAAGCTTTAGAATGCCGACAAGGTCGGACTATCGTGTGGAAGTGCTAACACGAAGGTGGCTACTCCTGGCCACCGAGCTAGGCAACAAGAACAAAGAACTAAGAACTCAGAAAGAATAGAGCAAATGCCTCAGAGCTTTATTACTCTCTCACAAAGAGAAGAATGGAATTGGGTCATTACAAATGAGGAGGAGAGCTCTCTATTTATAGTTGAGCTCCCTCTCAATCAATGGCCTAGATCATTTTACATTAACGGCTAAGATTTGCCCAATTAATGACAAATCCCCTAAATCAAGGAATTACAACCAAATCCTTCCTAATTACATCCATTAGTAGGATTCTTTCATTGGATAGGTGTTCACACTGGATATGGTAAGATTTTCCCACAATATCTTCCTGATTTTGTTGCCTCTTGCCATATTTACCGAGCTTCTGTGATCATCTTCAGATATGATGCCACTTTCCTTTTCTGCACGGCTAATGTGAACGGGCTCCATAGCATTCTCCAAGCGATGGGCCAAGTCTGGTGGCTTTGGCAAGCCCGATAATTATCTTGAGATTCCCTTTCGGACTCTTGCACCAATGTCTTAGCAAGCCCGATCCTCTGTCTTAAACCTCTCTGTCGGACACTTGCACCAGTGTCTCGGACCCAAGTTCCTAGCCCGTGACATTAGTCATTCACTTCTTTATTTGTGACATTTAAGATATTTTTATTTGATCTCTCAAATAATATATTATCTGAGATTTTATGATGGATTATTGTAAATTGTATTAAGGATTTCTAACACATTTGTAAATTGTATTAAGGATTTCATACACATTTGTTTAATTTATTAGGATTTTTAATTGGTTTCAATTTTCACGTGTATATTTAAAAATGTTTGATTGTATAGGTATACCTTGAAACTTTTGGATCATTATGAATACTTAATATTACGAAATACTTTTTTTTCAATAAAAAAAACCCACAAACATTGTATACAAAAATATTTTTTCAAGTACAATGTAAATGATGTTATTATATGTAATATTTTGAAGGAAGTCTCTACGATGAATCTAATTGAGACAACCTACGCCTTAGGTATACAATTGGTTCACATGAAAAGATAATTCTTATATTCACAAGCCCTAAATATCTCAAATTCTATTATAAAAAATGTTATAATAATAAAGATTAAACCCTGAACCACTAATTATTAATGAAAACATAGTAGTTTTAGGATTCAGAAGACGCTTTCTATATGAAATGTCTTTCAAGAATTAGTCCACCTCAGCAAAATACGTTTTTTCACAAAAATATATTTGTTAAGGACATATGTATGATCTTATATTATGGAGGTAAACTTTTAAAACGTTAGGAGGGACAAACTTATAAAATTTCAAAAATAGAAATATATTATCAATTAAAAATAAATAAAAAATATCTAAAATATATGTTAATTTAATTTTTTTAAACAAAACAAATGTTCCACCTATCCTCTTTAATATATCCTTAATTTTTGTCACGTTTCGCCATGCCTACCGTAAACGTTTTTCATAAAAAAACATTCTGATTAAAAGATTGTTAATTTAAAAATTAATAGTAATATATATTTTTAAGAACCAAATATCCTTTAGGTATACCGTATACTTAGTCAAAAAGACAAGTCTTTTGTAGTTATATTTTCCTTATATATCATACGAAAAGCTTAATAAAAAAAATGCATGCTCAAATTATAGTTAAAATTAACTTTTGATGTTTAAAATTAGTTTTGTTAAAAATAGATGTTTAATATTGATTTTGTTATATTTTTAGGTATATATCGTTAAAATAATCGTTAAGTGACAAATATTACGTTTATATATTTTTTAAAATAAAATATTATTTAAAAATATTTTAAAAAAATCTAAACGTGACGCATATTACCTAACGATTTTTTTACGACATGAAACGTTTGAAAACTTAACAGAAAACGTTAGAAATCTATTTTTAACTTAAACAACTTTAAACACTAAAAATTATTTTTTAGTATAATTTGAGCTTTTAGTTTTACATTAAACCTATAAAATGAAAACCTTTAAAATTTCTCAGTCTCACTACACATCCTCGCCGCCAAGCGAGTCTGTCCTCCTTTTCCAGTCCCTCACCCAAGCCCTCTCTTGTTTACTGACCAAGAAATTAAACAAGGTAATGTTCGAAACCCTAATCTTACGTAAAGATTTGTTTTTCCTACTTGATTCGCGAGATTTTGAGTTATTTGCGTTCCGCCTTCATTTTTTTTTTGTTTTCGATCCTACTGCTTTTTATCCTGTCTCTTTCTGTTTACTTCGTTGAGAAAGGATATTTTTGTCTAAAGCTACCGGTATCGTCGCTATTTTCAAAAGCTGTCATTTGCGGCTTCCATCGGCTGCTATTGAGGTCGCTGCCTTGAAAAAGCGGCGGCGTCACCCCTTAACTGTTGCCTGTTAGGTTTAGGGTCTAGGGTTTATTATTAAAATATATTTTTATTAAACTTGAAAAACTGAAGAATTCAAGGCACGAAAGTAACAGATGTTGTTATACATGATTCTCTTCTGATGCTAATGTCAATTTATGCAATGAAAAGTGCGATACCCCTTTACTATTGCTAGTTAGTCTCTTTATGAAATGATATCTGATATTGCTATAATTATTTTTCGATTAGGAGATTGTATTTTTTTTAAGAACTAAATTGAGAACAAGATGAGATTGTAGGATACCCCTTAGCTATTACTGAATATTCTCGTCATGTAATGATATCTGATATTGCTATTGTTATTTTTTAGGAGAATGTATCTTTTTCATTATTAAATTGAGAAAAAGAAGAGATTGGAGGATACCCCTTAGCTATTGCTTATTATTCTCTTCAGTTTTCATTTAATAATTTCTGAGGTTGCTATTGTTATTTTCTGTTCTGAAAATTGTATTTTCCTTTTACTTAATTTGAAAACAAGATGAGATTACATAAACCCCTTAGCTATTACTAATTAGTCCCATCATGTAATGACTGCTATTTCTATTTTCTTCTTTGGAAATTGTACCTTTTAGTTAATTTGAGAACAAGATGAGATTAGAGAAGTGCTGGTTTTGTTCCTCCACTGTATATCCGGGGCATGGTATTCAATTTGTTCGCAATGATGCGAAGGTAAGAGTTTCTCTCTTAGTTTTACATTTATATTCAAAGTTTATTGCTTTGCCTCTATTTATTTCTTACCATATCGGCTTATAATGGCTACATGTGATTTGATGCTATGGAATCAGCATCTATTTAGTTTGTTGACACTGAAGGATGTTACCTTTCTGTCTCTCATTCAGTTTTAGTTACTATTGCTGCAGTGCGTGTATGTCTGCATCCTAAAATATGATGTCTGCAACTATACGTATTCGCTTGTGGAGATCTATCATATGTGCGGTTTTCAGAAAAGTTTAGCTTTGTCAATGTCATGACAGATTAAAGGCGTCAACTAAAATAATTTATACTACTATGTTCGTTACTCCATGTCATTCTTTCTGTTTGGTGGACTGCTTTTAATTTCTGATGGTCCAAACTTTTGCAGGTTTTCCGTTTCTGCAGATCCAAATGTCACAAGAACTTCAAGATGAAAAGGAATCCTCGTAAAGTAAAATGGACCAAGGCCTATAGGCGTTTGCATGGAAAGGACATGACACAGGTGATAGGCCTATGGCATCAATATTGGTACCCGCTGTTGCATTAGTACAATGCTTAGACCAAAACACTGAATGATGATATCTGTTTCTTTTCTTTTTAACCAGGATTCAACATTTGAGTTTGAGAGGAAGCGTAATAGGCCGGAGAGATATGATAGAAACCTTGCAGAGAATACTCTTAAGGCCATCAAAAAGATCGATAAAATCAGATCAGATAGGGCATCTGACCACATCAAAAACAGGTAGGATTGCACTTCTGTTTACCATTGGAAGTATTATAGCATGCACTTTGCTAAATAACCATCCATTTTGAATCATTTTCCAGACTTAAGTCGGGCAAAGTCCAAAGGCAGAAAGAAGCAAGGAAGCAATTGGAGCAAGAAATTCACTTGGTCAAAGCTCCACTCGCTATTGCACAAGACTCATCTCTTCGTCTTCAAAAAATCAAAGTCAAAGTGTCCCAAGCACAGACAGAGGAGAATCAGCCCATGGAAGAGTGATTCCGATTCTGTTCTTCCTCAGCTTGGTATATTTATCTGCCACCGTAATGTCATGCATGAAACTTGTAGCGAAAGTATCAAGAGTCTTGTGCTGTCCAATGGCTCAGAATTTTGAATGGCATAGTTAAATGTTATTGTTTTGAATGTTCCTAATCATGGAAAGCTCATTAAGAACAAAATGTTATGTTTGTTTTTCCATTTTAAATGTGGTGTTACATGCATTTAATAAAGTAATAGAGACCTATGTAGACTTGGGATATCTACACTTGGTGTCTTCCTCCAATTGAATTGTTATATGCATTGAAAGTATTATAATCAGTGATGCCAGTCTAGCAAACTTGTAGTGGTTGTGTTTTGGATATAAGTGGAGACATGGTTTTGTTTCGTTTTGTTTTTTTAGATGATATAATGTGTGTTAAGCATGTTAGCATTGGTCTTAATTAATTAATTACATTTAGAGTTACAAATTATGAAAAATATTAAAAACATTAAAAAATAATTAAATTGTCAATAATAATAATAATATGATGATGCTAAGCGTTAAAAGTATATGTAAGATTATTTTTTAACATGTAAAAGTTAAATAAATTTAAAATATTTTACACGTGAAAAAATAATATGAACATCTATTTTTCTCTTTAAATTGAACCAAAACAATAAATTAGATAAAAATATATTATTAATCATGACATGACAAACAAATAGATATACTCTGTTGAAATACAGTAATAATAATATATAACACATGAAAAATATTACAGATGAAATGGTGATGATAATTGGCAACATTTGTCTATTCATATATTTCCTTGGTCCTTCTGCATGCCTTTGATTGAAGTTCATATTTTATCTAAATTCAGTGGGGAAAAACTTTTAATTAGCTTTATAGATTGTTAGTTTGCTAAAATGATTTGGTTGGATGGTTTAGTTAGACAAATAGTATTTCTTTATTTATTTATTCTCGAGTAAAATAGTCACTTTCAAAACTGAATAAAATTAGCAAACAAAACCATCTTTTTAGAAAGTGTAAATATACATTTTAGATATCTGAATTTGGTATTTTTTTGGGTTTAATTAGGGTAAATTTGGTATAGTTTTTGAAAAGTGATTTTTTTTAAAGAGATATAGAAATGAACTTCGAATTAAATCAATAACAAAGCTCCGAGTTTTGTGGAATTTTGCTAGGGTTTCCATGTCTCAAACTTTGCAGCCGACGCTTCTGCCGGATCCTCTTCCCCCTGATGGTTCCCTGAACCAAGCCTCTCCTCCTGTGATCTTTTCTACTGCCAACTAGATTCAACATAATGAAAGTATAGATTCATAACAACCCATAGTCCCAACAACTACCCTATTCATGATCTGGAATTAGCCGCAGTGGTATTCACTTTGAAGATTTGGAGGCACTACCTATTCGGAGAGAAGTGCTACATCTTCACCGACCATAAGAGTTTAAAGTATCTGTACTCCCCAAAAGAGCTAAATTTGAGGCATCGACAGTAGTTAAAATTGTTTAAGGATTATGACTACGTGATCGACTACCATCAGGGTAAAGCAAATATAGTAGTCGACAGTTTGAGCAGGAAGACTGTATCTGATCTTCAAGCTATGTTTGTACGCTTGAGTTTGACTATCAATGGAGGACTACTAGCGAAATTGCGAGTGGAACCCGAGTTAGTTAAGAAAGTCAGAGAACTTCAGAGTACTAACACCCGATTAATGTGCAAGGTGGAGCAAGCCCGTCAAGGTGAGACACCTGGTTTTGAATTAAATGACATGAATGTATTGTACTATTAGGGACATTTGTGTGTTTCGCCAGTCATTGAATTGCGAGCCAAGATTTTGGGCGAGGCATATTGTGGTTCGTTTTCTGTTCACCTGGGAGGAAACAAGATGTATCAAGACCTTCGACAGTTATACGGTGGCCAAACATGAAAAAAGAAATATTCGAGTTTGTGTCCAGATGCTTAGCGTGCCAACAAGTGAAAGCGAAACATCAGGTTTCATTAGGGTTACTCCAGCCCATCCTGATTCCGCAGTGGAAGTGGGATAGGGTAACCATGGATTTCGTGACGAGATTTCCTATGACATGAAGGAAGCACGATGCTACTTGGGTGGTGGTTGACCGTTTGACCAAGTATGCTCATTTCTTAACTGTTTGTATGGACTTCACCCTAGAGAGGTTGGCTAGGCTACATATTCAGAAAATAGTGAGGTTATATGGGGTTCAGGCATCGATCATCTCCGACCGATACCCACACTTTACGTCAAGGTTCTAGAAGGTATTTTATGAAGCTTTGGGAACCCGACTGCATTTTAGTACCGCTTTCCACCCACAAATCGATGGCCAGTCTGAGCGTGTGATCTAGATCTTGGAAGATATGTTCTAATGTTGTGTGATTGATCTGGACGGTAGTTGGGAGGACCATCTTCCGTTGGTTGAGTTCACCTACAACAACAACCACCAGTCAAGCATCCAAATGACGCCTTATGAGGCCTTGAATGGGAGGAAATGCAGGACACCCTTGTGTTGGACATAACTCAATGATAGTAAGCTAGTTGGGCCTGATTTGATCTGTGAGACAGAAGAAAAGGTTTGCCTGATTCAAGGACGATTGAAAGAGGCCTTCGATCGACAAAGATCGAATGCAAACTTGAAGTGAAAAAACATATAGTTTGAGGTCGGTGATAAGGTTTTTCTTAAAGTATTAACGTGGAAAAGAGTACTACAGTTTGGCCGAAAAGGGAAACTAGCTCCGCGTTTTGTTGGACCTTATGAGATTCTCGATCAGATCAGACTTGTAGCCTACCGTCTGCCTTTGCCGTCGTAGATGGAGCGCATCCACAATATTTTTCATGTATCGATGCTTATGAGATATCGTTTAGAACCATCCCACGTTATTACTTTGGAATATATCAAGGTAAGTCAACATATGACTTATGAGGAAAAACCAATACAGATCTTATATCGAGAGGTTAAAGACTTGAGGAACAAGCATATTCCCTTGGTGAAGGTTCTATGGAGAAACCATGGGGGTCGAAGAAGCTACATGGGAGACCGAAGAGGACATGCGACTCCAGTTTCTGTATCTATTCTTCTCATGTAAATTTTGAGGATGAATTTTTTTCTTAGGATGAGAGAGTTGTAACACCCCGAAATACGGATTAAGAGTTTTGGGTTTATTTGTTTGGGCCTATGAATGATTTTACCTTAGTATATGAATCTTTGGACCCAAATGGATTTTGATTTGGACTTGGGATGAACCCAACTAGCTATTAAAAGGGATGCTTTTAATCATGGACCAAGGGAGGAAGTACTAGGTGAGCGATTATCCCAAAATTTTCAAACAAAGGCTGAATCTCATTTAATAGGGATGATATCACGTCTGTTATCCCTTTTCTTTTTCCTCACATTTAATTGTCTTCTTCTTCTATTCCACCTTCTTCTCCTTCAAGAAATCAAGAAAGGTTGAATATTTAAGAAAACCAAGAATCCTTTGTGAATTCTAAGTGAAAGAGCAAGGGGAGAGTTCAAAAGCTAGAGGCAATGAAAAGGCTAGTCCTTGGGGTGATTTGAGGACGTTTTTCAGTCACCTAGCTTCAAGGTAACACGATTCTAACTTGTCCATACCACATGTAGTTCATTAAATGTGCATAAATGGTATGGTTTAGTTCATGAAACATGCTAGATTAATTTCCATGGTAAGATTCGTATTTGTGTGTTGCAAGCATGAAAGTTAGTACATTTTGACCTCTAAGACACTAAATAAGGCGTTAAATATGTTTGCTAGCCTTAGGGGAAATTATTAGGTTGATTTTTGGGTGTTTTCTGAGCTTAAGTAAGTCATTCCTAGAAAAAGGATTGATCCCTTTGGTCGAGGGATCGATCTTAAAGTTTCTGTCCAGCAAAGGATTGATCCCTTTTCAAAAGGATCAATCCCTCAGGAAAAATGATCGATCCCTCGAGCAAAAGGATCGATCCCAAACTTTTTGTTGTGCCTAAGATCGATCTCTTTTCAAAAGGATCGATCCCTTCGTTGTTTCACCGATGGTAAAAGGGTAGACTTTCATTTAATAGAGGTCTAAGTGTTATGAAATGTTGTATTGGCCTCAACATGTTTGAATGAGTTCAGTTTGTCCGTTGATTGATTTATCCAATTACTTAAACCCTAAATTTGAAAACTAATGATAATGATCAAGCTCGACTAATAACGCTATGAAATAAAATGACATAAAACTAGTATTGTTTGATACTCGAGGAAACGATGAGGACACTCGAGTCACTTAACAACGTGAGCATTACGTGTGTAAAATATCCGGATATATCCAATCTAGTGCTTGGGCACTTAAAATGCTAGTTGATGTTGTGTTGATGCTACGTGACCCGGGCACATCCCGAGTACTCTTGAGGAGTAGGCTAGTCGAGCAAGTGTCGATGCTTCGTGACATGGACTTGACCAGAGTGTTAAGGAGACACTGATGGTGTGTGACCCAGGTCTTCCTTAAGTGTTGTAAGTAAAAGTGGTGTGAGTTTCGTGATGGTATGTGACCCCGAACTACATTATGATACTTACCGTTTCCTGGAGTTTTGTATTTCTCATGACTATATTGTATCGTGCTTATTTATTAGATGCATGTAGTATAACATGGTTATTTTTTGTGGCACTGAGCTTGTGAGCTCATCGTATGGAATGTGTTACCGTGCGTAGGTCAGTAGGTGTCAGTTGAGGAGCTTTTCGCCAGGCTTGGATTCTAGACTCGACTTCTTCAGAGTACGTTTCGAGAGTTTTAGAGGGCATGTACTTTCATAGACCCTTATTTGTATCTTGAGTCGTAAACTCTGTATTTTAAATTAATGATATATTTTGGAGACTTATGTCTGGAGCTTCCATGTATTAAACACTTATATTTTGTATTTGTCTGGTAATTAAATTTTATGGATGGTACCTTCATGAAACGTTTTTTTTAAATGGTTAGTCACTCACGTGGTTCCGTGTAACATCGAAATTTGATGACATTCGGGTCGAATTGGATTAGGATGTTACAAAGTTGATTCCGGCATTGGCAAGAGAAGTAAATCTAAACCCTTCTTCCATTGGAGCCAATGCTTGCAACTTAGACCACCAGTTGACTGCCGGATCGCGGCCTGTCTCGTTCCAGTCCACGGGGATTAGGAACCACTCGATTCCGACTCGGCCAATATTAGTCTTTGCGTCACCACAAATAACGATGGTGTCACAGTCTCGCGTCGAGCCCTTCACCAG